CCCTGCCGAGCAGGGAGCCCGATGTGGGGCTCGATCCCAGGACCCTGGGATCATGACCTGAGCCGAAGGCAGACGCTTAACCAACTGAGCCACCCAGGCACCCCTTTTTAGGTACTTTAAAAATTATCTCTCTTAATTATGCCATTGCTTGCAAGATGTTCCAGTCTTCTGTAGTCAGTATGCATAGAGACTCTTTTTGCCTTAGAAGTGTTTGGTCAACTCTGCTTATTATTTATTAGATTCTTATCTAAAAAATATCTAGAAATTGTTGATTATTATTTGTTTTTTTTTTTACCAGAAGTAGTTTTTCTTGGTAGGTTGGGTTTAATTATGAGTGGTCTTAAAAAAATCATAATTTTCTTAATGATTTGTATAACTGTTGGACTGAAAAGAAGTTACCTAGTTGTGGGTGATACTGGATTCACACTCTGAAATTCAAGCAGCTTACAAATCCAAAGATGTTTCCTAAGTTTGGTACAAACTTGTTTTTGGTAAAACCTAACTGGAAATGATAGTTTATTTGTAGTGTTTCCTTAAATATTTGTAAATATTTATACTTTTCACTGCAGAAATGTGTCTGATTATAGGATAGTGCCATAGATCTCACTGGAGATTTTTAAGTGTAATATATTGTGTATATACCATGCTTCCCTTCTAAAATCTGAAAACAAAATCAAAATTCTGAAAGATATCTGGCTCCATAAGTTTCAAATAAGGTATTGTTGACCTACATGATATTGTTCTCGTGTCCTGTCTAAGATTGTTTAGGATGAGAGTGTTTTTTCACAACAGTTTTGAATAAGCTGTGGGTTTCTGCGTGGTAATCTTGAGATTGACAATTATTTTGTAGGGCCAGTCAATATCTATTGTATGTTAGTTAGTCTGTATTTTTAATCGATTTAACTTGCAGGAATTTTTTTTTTTTTTTTGTCTTTTAGCCATTTGTAAAGGATTTTTAGGATATTTTAGATACCAGATACTAATTGCAACTTTCTTTACTTTTTTTTTTTTTAACTTTCTTTACTTTTAATGTCCATTTAATTATAGTAGCTAAGGCTGGTTGAGTTAATAGAAATTAAAATGGTGTGGAAACAGTAGACTTTTTTCACCATTTTATTATTATCCTTTTCTTAGTTATAGGCTCAAAGAATGTATCACCCTACAGGTTTTACTATAGTTGTTGACCATGACCTGACTGTGACTAGTTGTTTCTTATTTCTTTAAGCTCCCCTTCCTTTTTTTTCTCCTTCTTGTTATTTCAGATTTTAGATTTTTATTTATTTGATTAGGTGTAAAGAGGATCAGAAGGTTACTGAGTAGTGTTGGGCCAAGATGGCCTGCGCTGCCCTAGGCAGGAATGGAAGAAACTTGCTAGAAAGCTTGTAGTTCTGCATGAACTTTTTAATAGTCTAAGTCTATCTTTTTAGCGACTACCATGGTTGCTCATTTCCAAGATGGATTCGTTTTTAAAAAATTATTAATTTCTTTCATTCTGGGGGGCTGTCGTAGTTACTGCCTAGAATTTTTGAAAGTTTAGGTGGCTCTAATTGATATGAACAGTATCCTGATAGCAGGAAAATTGATAACTGCTCTTGAAACTTCCATTTACTGTGCCAGTGCTGCTGTCTCCTTTCACCTGTGAACTTGATACTCCTAAAATTGATTAGTATGTAAGAGATGTTGACTATCATAAATAACCTGTGTTCATTTTTGCTGAGTAAAGAGTAAAATAAATGAGACCAAGTTTTTTGGGCCAGGTTTTTCTTGTTCTGAATATGACTCAACGCTTGTAAGTTCATACAGTTTATGAAACGAAGATGGAAGAGAAGAAGAATTTGGTCTGTATTATATCATTAAGTTAAAATCAAGTGCCCAATTTAAAAAGAAGCACCTTTACTTTTAGAAAAAAAGATTGTTTCTAGGGTACCAAATATAGCATGAGCCATTTGACACAAAATAGTGCTCCTCTTTTTAAAGCATATTTTAATTTAGAGTTACATTTAGTCATCTTCATTAGTGCTATATTGAATTAGAACCATTATACCAACTTCATTGATTTATTATTTAATCAGGTTGGGAATGTCTACCATTCTTTGACTTAAATTTGTTTATATTGTTTTGCAAGTTACTCACAAATTTTGGTGGTTTCATTTGTGTCAGCGTTGTGTGTGTGTGTGTGTATGTATATACATATGTGTGGTTTTTTTTCTCATATTTTCAACAGATTCTGAAGGGAGTGGTAATGGAAGTGAAGATCCTTCAAAGGACAGTGGAGAAGGTTCCTGTAGTGATTCTGAAGAAAATATTTTAGAAGAAGAACTGAATGAAGATATTAAAGTAAAAGAAGAACAACTTAAAAATTCTGCAGAGGAAGAAATACTATCATCAGAAAAACAGTTAATTAAAATGGAAAAGAAGGAGGAAGAAGAGAATGGAGAAAGACCTAGAAAGAAAAAGGAGAAAGAGAAAGAAAAGGAAAAAGAGAAGGAGAAAGAGAAGGAGAGAGAGGATAAAGAAAAAGCAACAGTATCTGATGCTGTGGCTGCTTCTGCTGCTTCCACCACACCAGCCACAAGTCCTCCTGCTGTTAACGCATCTCCTTCAGTCCCCACTACGACAACCACTACAGAGGAACAAGTCAGTGAGCCAAAAAAGTGGAACCTTCGTCGAAATCGACCACTTTTGGATTTTGTATCCATGGAAGAGCTGAATGATATGGATGACTATGACAGTGAAGATGACAATGATTGGCGACCTACTGTAGTAAAGAGAAAGGGGAGATCTGCATCTCAGAAAGAAGGAAGTGATGGAGACAATGAGGATGATGAAGATGAGGGAAGTGGGAGTGATGAGGATGAGAATGATGAAGGCAATGATGAAGATCATAGCAGCCCTGCCAGTGAAGGGGGTTGCAAGAAGAAGAAGAGTAAAGTTCTTAGCAGAAACAGTGCTGATGATGAGGAACTGACCAATGATAGCCTGACACTATCTCAAAGCAAGAGTAATGAGGTAGATCAACCCAATTTTTATGATATCTGTCTGTCTGGGGAAAAGGGAATTCTTCTCTAAACCATTCTACTCATTATATTAAGTAGCTTCCTTGAAATCCTATTTATAGACAGCTGTGGGAGTGAATGAGCGCCCTAACTGTAACATTTATTCATTTGGTCCAACCAGCCTTTATTGAGTATCTACTATTTGTCACCGTCCTCAAGGAGCTCATAATCACCGTCCTCAAGGAGCTCACAGTCTTTGTAGTTAGAGAAATATTTTTATATCCATAGACTAGGAATATGGTAGTTTTCCTTTCCTTTCCCCTTTCTATCCTCTCACCCCATTCTTCATAGGGCTGCTGAATGGTGCTGAGTGGAGTATGAAAACAGAGGTCACCTTTGTTTCAACTTAGCTATGTCCACATGAAAATTTAGACTTCTAGACTACTTTAGAGCAGGACAACAAACAGCTTAATGATTGCCTCAGACTTTTAGAGATTGATTTTAAGGTTAATTCCTTTACCAGTTGTAGCACTCATCATCTGAATAGTCACCAAGTCTTTGCTTTAAATGTATGGGAGTAAATAAGAACTATATGTTTACATATATTTAGTGAATAAGTTCTCTCTACAAAGAAATGAAAAAGAAAAATCAAACACTCCTATCATAAGACAAACATTTCTTTCCTAAAACTACAGTAATGACTCAGTTCTTCCACTTGAAGTTCTACTACCGAAAGTTAGGTTTATCCTTTGGGCCCAAGATGCAACATTCAAGATTCTTCAGTCAAACACATTTGTGTCTCTTTGTCTGTGTGTTTATGTATATGTTTTTCTTCAAAAGCAAGATTGAGTTGTCGTCTTACATGTAGATGTACCTGTTACATCAACATGTAGAACTATAATAAAGTCTGTCATTTCTGTTAATGCATTTGTCGTCACAGAAATTCAGTTCTTTAGCAAGCACTTATTTTTTGTTTTTTCATATCATTGAAAAAGGTTAAACTGGTAGAAGGATTTTCCTTCTATGCTGTATTCTTTTACATTTCTTCTACTTACAAGTTTTACATAGCAGTGATTACCTATTTTAAGTAAGTTTCATTTAAAAACTTGGTGATTTTTTTCTTGCCAAAATAATAAGTAACAGGCTCTGAGGGGCTTATATGTCAGTAGTGATGAAACAGCAGGTTATAATAAATATATATATTATAAACATTGGTTAACTTCTAGGTTATCCACTTTCATATGAAGAATGTTGCCTGCCTCCAGTGCTATCTATCTAAATTCTTATCTTTAGGTAACGGGAAATTGTCATTTGGAATATAATACAATATTTATATGCTGTAGCACAAACAGTTCCATATTCCCAGTGCCAATTTAGGGAAATAGAAATACGGAAAAATCAGTTGTTCATATGTGATGTAGGCTTGTATCCAGTTTATTTTATAGCATTTAGTAGTCGATATCTACTGAATAAGATTACCTTTGGCAGCATTACTTTCTTCATTTTTATTAGCCTGACATTCACAAAAGTAGGCTGGCTAATGATAAAGGCAGAGTTAGATTTTATGTGATGGTGTGGGGAATACCTGCAGATGTTTAGGAATTTGCCAGGTAAAATGTATACATATTATCCATTTATTAATAATCTGTAATACATAAATTATTGCTTAGGAGGTTGTAGACTGTCCTTTATGATGCATTGGAAGGCCACATGTGCTGTTTAGGTTTTTTTCTACCAGGAGAGACTTTAGTAAATAATGGGACTTCATATATTTAGGTTAAGTCCCAAAGGAATGTGATTCCAGAGCATTTCTTGGAAATGTGCCTCCATAAAGTTGTCAAGAACTTTCTTCTTACAGTAGCTAAATTAATTTCTCTTGTTAATTTATGTTAATTTTCCTTTTGTTTTACCCTATGCAGAAATGCAGAAGAACTGATAGAAAGTTAATTTTAACTCAATAATATTCTACCCGAAATCTTGGTAACTGTTTTCCCCAACACCAGTAATTTTTGATGATTCTACTTCTATTTGTCACTCAAATTAGATGACAAATTTTAATAAACAATAATCGGGATTATTATTTTATCTTACATTTCTAAATTTCCTGTTCATATGCTCTTGATTTTGTAAAAAAGATGACTAACGGTAATTCTTGTTGCTTTATGGCCATTGTTTGTATCTTAATCTTCCTGGTCATTTTAGGTAGATACTTTGGCATTAAGGTATCAATTATCTTTTAGTTAATACAGATATATTTGATTATATTTGAAGTTTTATTTTTCTCTTTTACTTTAGGTTTTCAAGTACTGCTTTGTAGTAGAGATAGCTGAAAGTGTGGTTTTAGAAATACATAATTGAATTATATTTAGTTTATAAACAGCAGACTTTCTTGGCTGTTACGTCAAGTGCTTTTATAGGGAAATGATGTTGGACATCATGTAAGTGATGTCAGAAGCTTTAATAATTTTGAAGTTTTTTAGGGAATTTGATTTTTTTCTTTTGAGCAGGGGGACTTTTATTGACTCTTAAGGGACTCGATCCCAGGACCCTGGGATTATGACCTGAGCCGAAGGCAGATGCTTAACCATCTGAGCCACCCAGGTACCCTGTAGGTTATAGCTTTTGTTATTTACCATTTCAAATTAAAACTGAGGAATTTCAAAAATTAAGACATACAGAAGCATACAGGTTGTCAGATTGATGACCCTATCCCCTGTTGTATAGTTCTGGAAGACTACATCATAAATGCATGAGAGAGAGTGAAAAAGGCAAACAACCTCAGTATTAGTATGAAAATAGCCTTTAGCTTGTGGACCCTATGAAGCAGAGTCCATAGACCACACATTGAGAACTACTGTTCTACAATTGGACATTTGATAAACCTACATTTTCTACATATGGACACTTTCCTTGGCCTATAGAATTAATGACATTTTTTTAATTTAGTGCAGTCTGAACAATCTCCTTGGAGTATCATTATATGCCACTTTCAAACTTTTATCTTGATGCTTTTGAGATTAACTGATGTTATATTGCTTTTTGGTTTTCTGAAGTAAATCTTTTGGGGATGGGTGTGTAGCATTTTCAGAGAATGGTTCACATTTTC